ACATGTTTAAAAGGTGATCCTTTCCCACCTTCTCACTCTTCATCATATTTATACTCCTCACACACCTTGACACTCTTTTTTACTTTGTTCAGGATGAAAGACAAGCATAAACTTTTGTAAAAAGGTTATCACCCTACAATAACTTGTGTTTGAAAACTTGCCTGACTTATGCTAACAAGTCACTTGTTTATTTTCACAAAGTAAATGATAGTTGTTCATGCCCTCTCTAAGTAAGTCACAATAGTCGTGATAGATCTTAACTGCCTTCCTTTTCTTTCATAGTTGTTATGTGGCTCATTCTGTCACCACTAAACCACCAGTACCTTTCCCATATATCGATCGCGGACAATTTCATAAGGTTGAAATGACAAACGGGTCGCCGATTCGATTTATCAACAACGACCCTCCCTCGTTCAACCCGCACGTTATTCGATGTGTCTCGACAAAATAACTGGGAAAGGTATTGGTGGTTTAAACCACCAGTAATGGGCACCTTGGCCGCGGGCCGGACACCTCGAATTCTGGAAGACCGAAACGAAAACCCGACCGCTGATCCAATTTATCAACGACAGACCCAACTTTTGGCGTTTCAGGCTCGTTTTCTTATGACGACAAGTTTCAGATTGCAAGGCAAGGGCCGTGTACTAGTGGTTTAACATCAATATATGCACATCTTGAACGTTTAATAATTCTCATGTCATGCTTTTGAGGAACTAACCAACGATATACCTAAATAATTTTCTCCACTATAGTGTTTTACATGCGACTTTTTTACTCACACTACCGACTCACATAGTATAAACAATTCTCTCAAATGCATCTCCAATCGAAATAGTTTGTTGCGACCCACCTCTTCTATACCCGTAGTATAACTATATTGGAACAAGTGCATGCACGTAATCGGGCCAAACCAACCATAAAGATTTCATATTTTTTCACAATCACTGCTACAAACAAATATTCAACGGAGAGACTCTCATAACTACCTACACAATATCCCTTTTGTAGAGTGGCAAAAAAAATGACATAACATGTCAAGATAGATAACTTGACAAATAACACATTCATTCCAACATGCAAATACAATATGAATAAAAATAACTTTAGCCTACAAGCCTACGTCCACTTATACTCCTTACCTCTCCACGCCCAGTTTTTCATGTCAATCAATAATCGTGATACATGATGAATGTGGTTCTCTTTCTCAGTAGTGTTTTGCAACTCGATCTGGTATCATTGATCCCAATGCATGCATCGCCAAGCCCTTCACCGATCCTCATGTCATGGCCACGATAACCAACCAACTGCAGACTTACTAATTTTTATCTTCGCATGTTTCGGATATGACTCTTTTACTCACATTACCAACTCAACTACTAAAAGATCTCCCACATCCACAATCTCCCATCGTTCAAACTTCAAAAAAGTTTATCACCTACCCTTTTTGTACCTAAAATACAATGGTAATCCAATAAGCACACATGCTTAAACCACCAGTCAATCCGAAGCTAAATTGATGAACAAAAATATAATTGTCAAACCTAAAATCTACAGTGCAGGCGTTTGGAAAAATGAAGTGCAGGGGCATTGACATTGTAGATTTTGACCCGATACTTGTACATGAGTAAAATCTATAGTACAGGGGTTGTTGGATTGGTGGTCAAACCAGCCATCACAATTATAAACTTTTTCACAATCTTTACCTTAAACAACATAACAAATCAAGATAGCTAACAACCTGGCATACAACACATTCACGACGATATGCAAAATGCAACATGAATGAAATTAACACCAACCTACAAACCTATACAATTAACATTCACACTGCTTACCTCTCTATGTCCGAGAGGCAGTTAGCAAAGACCTTAATGTTCAGACAACTTGTCATGCCATTTACAACAAAATTCAAGGGTCGTCACGGTTTTAACCAAACTTGCCACCAAGTCATAAAGTAGAGACCATAGTTACTAATTGCAAAAAAAAAAAAAACCTATAAAACAGCAAGGCAAAAGTGCACTTTCATGCAAATTTTACCAACATTCAGTTTCAGAAATCTTGAGAAATTTCATAAATCTTAGTAGAGGGAATTCCAGTGCTTCAAATGAGACAACCTTGAACCAAAACAAAAACAGGCAAAAAAATAAAAATAAAATTTGATCCCCAAACCCTAGTTCTTGTTTTGGACCTGTTAGTCAGGAGTTGAAAATGGAGGTCCCCGTTAACCACGTTGGCTATGCCCACTAGGTCATGTCAATTGTCATAAGCAGTCAAGGAAAGCCTAAAATTCAAACAATAACTAAAAACCTCTGACAGTAGACGAACGCCAACATCGCATCAATTGGAACCTACAAAGCGTCGGTCGTGATCATTACTGACCCAACTGACGTCCCCCAGTTTGCCAAATAAATTGTTGAATTGCCCTGGTTAAGTTGCTGCACATACGCGATTGCCGCCATCTAATGGCCTCGGGGGGGGCCAAAGGGAATATCATATCATGTGGTCCCTTTTTTTTACCAATCAATCCATAATGTAGAGACGTTTGTCGATACTGAAGGATTCAACCGCCATTAATTTTGCCGCTTCTCTTGCCGAGCCTTCGAACAGTTTGCGCCCCAAGAAAAACCCGAATTGGCGCACCTTTATTTGGCTGTTGCCGCCTGCCTTGCTGCAAGCCATTTACTCTGGTAGCCGAGCCCTGAAACTGACCGCATGTTAACAACCTTGTTGGAGAAGGGTACTGGGCAAGTACTGGTGGTTCAAACTGCAGGTACATGACCTTAGACTGTGGCGGTTTGCTTGTCACCTACTCCGAAAATTTTGCGCCTCAGTTCTACTGGACCACCAGTTCGCTTAAGCTACGGGCGCACTCACACTGACACTTTTCTAAATGTTATGTGACAACAATTACGACCAGATCGGGATGCATCTGACCGCAATCACGTCCACAAAACAGTAAGAAAAAGTCCTAGAGTGAATATGACCTAAGTGGGGCTCTCACCAGTGTACTCCGTATGAGGATGATGCTTGGGGCCTGAGCCGTTAGTGGCCTGCAGTGACCTCTAAGAAAAGGCCCAGTTGGAGGCTTTGCAACTTTGCATGTAGCTTCATCCTTAGAGGCTCGGCCTGAGCCAGTAGTGGCCGACGGTGACCCCTAAGAAAAGACCCAGTTAGAGGCTCTACAGCCTTGCACAGTAGCTTCATCCTTAGAGGCTCGACTGAAGTGGCGGTCCCCAAGTACAAGCCCTCCAGCCCAGAACTTCTGGCTCTTTTGATGTACGGGGGCCTCGGCCCACATGCCAGCGAATAGTATAGTTTACTAGTCCGTGTGACGGTGTGGGACTGTTAGGAACTGTCGATTGCATTTTCAACGGACGGGGGGATTATGCATCCTGCCATTTAGGGCTCCCTTTTGTCATTGGCTCTTAGTTGCTTTAGGGGTCCCGTGTGGAATGGAGGGAGAGGGAATACGGTGTAGAATACTAACCTCGTTTTTCTGGCGTAGAATACTATTCGTTTTTGCCGCCTCGCCTACAGCAGCCGACTTCTAAAGAGGAAGGCCCACCGGTAAGTGGTATGTTACCTCATACTGAGAAAGCACGAACCTGGTCACCATTGCTGCCGAATTCATTATTTTCAGGCACAAACATAGCAGCAATGAACTCTGCCGCTGAGTCGTTCGCACAGTGTATTGGTTGGTATTGATCTTACAGTCGTGACGCTGCTTCTGACGAGGAAGGCCCTCTGGTAAGTGCTATATTACGTTAGCTGTGGTGCCAGAGCAAGGCTGTAGGGCTCGTTTCGTCTTCACCTGAGGCTATAAAGGGAAAAAAAAGTAAAAAAAGTGGGCGTTTTCGTTTTTTGGTTTTCTGTGGGCCGCCGTCCTCTGGCTGCGCCTACACCCAAAGGAGGTCCGTCCAATAAAGGGCCTGGCTCCACTATTATCGAAATGTGCAAAACGAGAGTGAATCTTCTGCTAGAACACGGAAAGATACACCACCACAATTTTTTGTCTTTTGTGCGTGTCGAGAGTAGTGGAGCGACGCCCAACTGCACACAAAGAAGTGCCTCGAAAATCGTGGTCCGTTTCCCGAAAAAAAATAAATAAAAAAATCGTGGAGGTGTATCTGTCCATGTTCTGCACTATATGCACGATGGTTTTGCACACAGAGGAGAGTAGCGGACCTAGACCCAGGCGGCAAACGCACATGCTGAATTGCGTTCGTTGCCCGCCTTCTACTGTCACACAGACTAGTAAACTATACTATTCGCTGGCATGTGGGCCGAGGCCCCGGGTCTGTTTAGGTCCCGCTGTACCCGCTATTTGATGCCAAACAATACCAGGAGGGGGGGGGTAGATGCGTGACCATGCTACCAGTCTGAAAAGAGGCCAGATTCTGTTCTGGCATTGCTTGCATGAAAGTAGCACCACCAGCCCTAACCCTAATTTCAGCCGGCAAGGAGGAGGGGGGTGCCATAAGACCAACCCTTCCCCCCTCAAGCCACCCACCCACTCTCCTTGTGTGTGGGAAATGGGACATCGGTTCGCTACCGGGTGAGTGGTCCCTCGTGCACCAATTGGGATTGGGACTTGTCGGCCGAGGATCTTGGACAAGCTTGGAACTGGGACATTGGCACCTCGCCCCGGTAGGCAGGGACAGAGCAGGAGGGCCCAAAGGCCCAAAAAGTAAAAAAACGACCAGGCGGTAAATAATGACCACAAAGAAAAACAAGTAATGCTTTTGTCCGCCCACACGGCCTCGCTGACTGTGGCGGGCGGACGGAGCAGCGGAACCGGAAAACCCAACCCAACCCAACCCAACCCACCCTTGTGCAACTTGCTACTTGCAACTTGCAACTGGCAATTGCCATTCGAAGGGAGAGAGAGGAAGGAGGTGGTCCAGAGCGGGAGGAAAAGAGGACGAGAGAAAGAGAGGGGGGGGAGGAGGAGGGACCAAAGGGTCCACAGAAGAGCTTGCTCGCTCGGTCGCTCGGTGGTTGGCTAGTGATTGACGATGTATTGTGTTGCACCGCGGGAGCAATTAAAGGTGACGTGCCAGAACGGCTAATACTTTACGTTTTTTTTTTAATTGTTTTTTGAAAAGCTGTCTTCTCCTCATCGGTGGACAGCTACATAGTATGTTTTCTCTCACCTCACATATTTTGAAGAGAGGTAGGAAAAAAAAAGCTATGCTTGCAGGGGAGGGGTCCCCTGTAGTGGCAGGTAGGTCGCGAAAGGGAAAAAAGCTATGTTCCATGACATGGCAGAATGGCTAATACTAATTGATGTATGTGTTCAATTACCGCAAATTACTGTTACTTAATACTAACTCCAAGTTTGGTTAATAAAGAGACAGACTGTTCCGTCGGACTATTATCCGCTTTTTTTTTTTTTTTTTTTTTTTTATCCCGCTCTAAGTTTGCATACGTATGTACTCGACACAAACAGGGGGCTTTGACGTACGGACTATAGTCATGTACGTACGTACGTACGTACCTATACACGTGTATATTAAAAAAATGCACGATGCTCAAATACATATCCCTGTATGTGTGTGTGTGTGTGTGTGTGTGTGAGAGAGAGAGAGAGAGAGAGAGAGAGAGAGAGAATGTGGACCTTACGTTGTGACTCAGTGAGGATGGGTATTTTGAGTTTCTTTTTTTTTCAATTTCTTGAAGTGAAGGAAAATATACTTCTAATGTCCAACTGTGGGACTTGGTAGAAATTCATGATCACTGGGGGCGAAAAAAAAAAACAAAAAAAAACAACCCACAATTGCAAATAGCATGTCGGAAGTTGGACGCTCAAAGTCGAAATCCGAACAGGACCCCCGGTTATTGTGCCACCTGTATTTGGGGCAACTTTCAGTCTAGATACACGAATAAAGATCCGGCTTCTATTCGGGGGAAGACGGGAGTGAATTCATAAGAGCAGCACGGATTTTCTTCTTAATTAAGAAAAGAAGATGCTAAGGAGTTACGCAAATCATTTTTTTTTTCTTTTTTTCTAAAAGGAAAAATCATTTTTTCAGATTTTTCTTAAAATTTCCGTTCTGATTATTTGTGAAAACTACTAGCGCAGTTAGTTACTGATAGTGAAATCGAGAGGGGTATTAGTGAAATTTCAAATTTGGGAAACCCCCCCCAAAAACAATAATTGGTGGGGGAAAAAAAAATAAAAAATAAAGTAGTGAAAAATGCACGGAATTGAAAATGAGGATTCAGTGAATCCGTCCTGAAACTTGGAATCTATGGTGTCTATGCAGCCGCCCGAGCGGAACTTTCGTCGAAACTTCGTCAAGTCGCTGAGCAGACGGACCGGTTTCCAGGGGAATGTCGTCGTAATCTGAAGAAAAAACTTAAGATTAGGACCGCAAAAGAGTTCACACTAGGACTAGGACTTTCTCGAATGAATCTGCCCGAAATCGAGGCCAGATTCAGCCAGAACGGTGCTAGTAGTCGCTGGGTAAACAGTAGTAGTAGTATCAGTATCAGGAGGAGCAAGAAGAAGGGAGCAGATGAGATGAGAAGGAAGCCGGCGCTCAGTTCGTCCTGGATTTGTCAGCGTCTCCTTTTCCTTTACGGCCTCCTCCTCCTCCTCCTCCTCCTCCTCCTCTTTTCCCTCCTTCTCTTTCCTCTCCTCGGCGGCCTTTTCCCCTCTTCTTTCCTTTTCTTTTCTGCTTTCTCGTTTTATTCTTCTTCTTCCTTTCTTACCACCTCTTCCTCCTCCTCCTCCTCCTCCTCTTCTTCGTCTTCCGTGTCATCTCCTCCTCCTCCTCCTACTCTTTCCCCTCCTCGTCGCCCTTTCCCCCTCTTCTTTCTTTTCCTCTTCTTCTTTCTCTTTTTCTTCGTCTTCTTCTTCCTTTTTTTCCCTCCTCCTCCTCCTCTTTTCCCTCCTCGTCCTTTTCGCCTTTTCTTCCTTCTCCTCATCTTCTGTCCCCTCGTCTTTCTTCTCCTCCCTTCTTTCTCCTTTTCTTCCTCCTCGCCTTCTTCTTCCTCCGTCTGGACAAACAAGTGCCTTTCTCCTTTTTTTCTTCTTCTTCTTTCGTTCTTATCTCCTCCTCCTCCTCCTCCTCCTCCTCCTCCTCCTCCTCCTCCTTCTCCTTCTCCTCCTCTTTTCCCTCCTCCTCGTCCTTTCCCCCTTTTCTTCCTTATCCTTATCTTCTTTCCCCTCTTCTTTCTTCTCCTCCCTTCTTTCTCATCCCCTCTTCTTTCTCCTCCCCTCTTCTTCCTCCTGGCCTTCTTCTTCCTCCGTTTGGACAAACAGGTGCCTTTCTCCTTTTCTTCTTCTTCTTTCGTTCTTACCTCCTCCTCCTCCTCCTCCTCCTCCTCCTCCTCGTTTCCCTCCTCCTCGTCCTTTCCCCCTTTTCTTCCTTATCCTCATCTTCTTTCCCCTCTTCTTTCTTCTCCTCCCTTCTTTCTCCTCCCCTCTTCTTCCTCCTGGCCTTCTTCTTCCTCCGTTTGCACAAGCAGGTGGTTGCTTGCCGTTAGGCGAGTCCGGCGAGGAAGAAGAAGTCGAGGAGGAGACCAAGAAGAGGAGATGAAGAAGAGAGGATAAAGAAGAGGAGGATAAAGAAGGGTGGATTCGAACCAGCAACCTCGGCCCCTGATGAGTGTGCCAGGTGCGCCGCTTCCTGGCTGAAACGTGCGTATAGGGCAATGAGCTGTTTTCATTATTCTTCTTCTTCTGCGCCTAGTGCATGCGGATGTGTGTGTGGACTTCTTTTTTTTTTTTTTTTTTTTTTTTGTAACCAATTTTATCGAAGCTTGCACGAAAGACGGTCTTTGTTCTCTGTTTATCACTATTTTCACTATTCCTCCATTTCCTTCTCCTCCTTCTCCTTCTCCTCCTCCTCCTCCTCCTCCTCCTCCTCCTCCCACCTCCGTCTGTCCGTCTCCTCAGGCCGAGGTCGCCGGTTCGAATCCGTGCTTACACGGAGGAGGGCTTTTAGGACCAGATGATGTACGGATCCATAACTACTAGTCTTCGTTCTCGTTCTCTGACTCCTCCTCATCCCAAGGATATCAAGAATGGATGTTGCCACAATAGAATAGCTGATTAATTAGTATATGTGAGATTATATAAGTAATAATAATAATTATATATGTATAGTATTATATTATATACATATCATGTGACAATATATACTCTTTTTTTTTTTTTTTTGTCGGCTTTGCGCTCCGATACACTGTGTGGTGACGATATACATGTGTGATGAGTCGGTGAAACTTCCCCGACGAACCAGTTTGTCCCAGCCCCTCGTTTGTTGTTGTTGTTGTCCTCTTGTCCCTCGTTCCCTCCCTCTGTGCCTCCGGTTTACCGGCACGTTCTGGCATTTCTTTTTTGCTTTAGTCTTCCCCATTTTTGTTGGGGTATTTCGTTTTGCGGACCTACCGTGTGGTTCCGTTATTTTAAAACTATGGATATGGTAGAACTTACTTGTTTTGGTAATCTTGTCTGCTGCATCCCGGCTGGTTTTGTCCCGTTGATCGGTCTATTTTGGGATGCGTAGTGGTGCTTTCATGTGGGACGAGTCATCCGGGTTCTTTCTTTTCGGTTTGCCATCTGGGTTGGTTGTTTCCCGTTGTTCGGCCTGCATGGGGGCAGTGCTTTTATGTGGGAATCGTCATCCGGGATTGTCTCTTATGTTTTTTTTTGTCCCCGTAAGAACGGTTTACAAATGGGAATACCCACGTCTTGATGAGGAGGGAGGGGTGGGTGCTTGCATGTGGGACTTGTCATCTAGGATCCGTTTTTGGTACTATTGCTTGTTGCCCCCTGTTTTGTTTTGTTGTATTTGGCTGTTCCCTTCCTCTTTTCTTTGCCTCTTTGCGCTTTGGTTGTGTGCAAGTGGGGGGTCGATATGACACGGGGGTGGGGGCAGTCGTCGCTCAACCTACACATCCACGTGGGCGGCCTTGTACGCAAGAGGTTCTGAACAGGGGGAGTTGTAAGGAAGAAGATAAAAAACTGAATTCATTTTTTCTTGTTTTTCTTTCTTTTTTTTCGCATTTGCGCTCTGATATTCTTGTGACAATATATATACATATATATCGCCTCCTGATGAGTCGGTGAAACTCCGACGAAACAGTTTGTCACAGCCCCTCGTTTGTTGTCCTCTTCTCTCTCTCTGCCTACGGTTTACCGGGCAGTTCCTCTCCTTCTTCCTCTCCCTCTCCTTCTCCCCCCTTGCCATCCCCTCCTCCCCCTCCTCCTCCTCCTTCTTCTTCTTCTTCTTCTTCTTCCTCTTCTTCTTCTTCGTCCTCTTCTTCTTCTTCCCCCCGCCGGCTGCGAACGGCCCCTCCTTTGTCTTCGTTGTCTATATTGGGACGTCGGCAGGCTCGTTCATTCTCTCCTCCTCCCAGTCCCCCTTCCTCTCGACGTCGTGTTGATGCTAATCTGCGGGGATCTTTGTCTTA